TCCCTTAAAGGGTAGACACATCCGTTAGTAACCCTTAGTGTAAATTAGGGCAGGCTGAAGGCAAGATATTTTTCAGTGGATCTAAGTCTACATACATAATCTTAATAAAAACCAGCAAAACAGCAGTTAGACAATAAAATGTTTATTGTTTTTCTGTTTTTTTCTTGCCCTCACCCTTATTTTCTCCTAACCTCACTGTGCATTTTTTCCCACTCTGAAAAAAGCAACCACAAGGGTGCCAGATGTGCTGAATGTATGGATACCAAGGCGGTCTGGCCTAGCAACAAGAACCACGTAGAAGATTTCAGAATTTTCTTGGCTTTTCATCCTGTTTATATTTCCTGTAATGGGAAAATAAAATATAAAGCCCAGTTTGGATTTTGTTCTCTCTTTCCCAAGAAAATTTATACCTAATTATGCCCCATAAAAAGGAAGTCAAATTGTGAGCTCAAGCATGAGACAGTGGCAAAAATGGCATTGGTAACAATGCTTTCCTCACTTCCGGAAGGGTTAACACTACATAATCTATAAGGAAAGGAAGCATTAAATGGTGTTCCTAACCCGCTTTGAACACTCTTTAAGGCCTCAGTTCAGTAAAGCAACTCTATTCAGTACAGTATTAAGTCAATGGGATTTAAAGCCCTGCTTAACATTAAGCAGGTGTTTAAGCAGCATTCTACACAGACACGGAGGTAAGCATGTGGTTTGGTTCTTCTCTGACTCAGGACTGATGGGAAGGAAGGATAGTTATGCTGGCAAGTCACCATTCTGTGTTTTCAGGAGACCTGGGTTTGTTTCTTAGCCTTGCTGCAGACGGCTTGTTTGACCTTAATCAAGACAATTTCTCTGCCCCAGTTTTCCCCTCTGTGAAGTGGGACTAATAGGATTTTCCTTCCCACCAGGAGGTTGTGTGAGTGTTTTCATATTGCAATAGGTATCCATGGAAGAAGGATAATTACACTAATCATTGTGAGGTTTTCATATTGTGATGAGGACCCATAGAAGAAGGAGAAACTAGATAGGCAGAGAAATTTAATGGGATTAGGATCAGGTCCATATTTGGATACACAAACATACCAGTTTTACATGGCCCACATGTTTCTCTCAGATGTACTTGTCAAGGACTATCATTAGCTTTTTAACTTCACAATGAGTTAAGAGAATGGCTTTTTTTTCT